ACTGGAGTGCAATGGCACGATCTCAGCTGACTGCAACCTCCGCCTCCTGGGTTCAAGCAATTCTCCTGCCTCAGCCTCCTCAGTAGCTGGGATTACAGGTGTGCCCCACCATGCCCAGCTAATTTTTGTATTTTTAGTAGAGACAGGGTTTCACCTTGTTGACCAGGGTGGTCTTGATCTCTTGACCTCATGATCCACCCGCCTCAGCCTCCCAAAGTGCTGGGATTATAGGCGTGAGCCACCGCCTGGCCTTTCTTTTATCTTTTAATAGATACTGATGTTTGTGTATTTTTCATTTAAAGCTAAACAGGCATTGAGGAAGCAGCAAACAAAGGCATGGAAGAAACTACAACAGCAAAAAGAACAGGAAAGACAGAAAGAAGAGGATCAGCGGAAACAAGCTGAAGAAGAAGAGAGACGGAAAAGAGAAGAAGAAATCAGAAAAATTCGAGATCTCTCAAATCAGGAAGAACAGTACAATCGATTCATGAAATTGGTTGGTGGCAAGAGGAGATCAAGAAGTAAAGTAAGAAATACAAAAATATAAAATCAAAACATTACTCTTAAGTGTCCTTAAAGTCTTATTTCATAGATCCAGTCAAATAAGAGAGCTTATTATATAAATAACTGAAGGAAAAAAGGCAGGTAGGTTATAATTGGGAAAGTGTCTTTTGTAGTTGTAGGTATTAGAAGTAGAAGAAATGAAGGTTAAAATTATGATAAACAGAGACTGCTTTTAGCTTATCATTTTCTATTTAGATGAAAGTAGGATTATTAAATTGTGGTGAAGCTTATTCTGAAAATGGCTATTTCTTAAGTGCAAGAGTAGAATTTCATTAGTTTTTCATTGTTAGTAATGTAGATTTAGAAGTGTGTCATGACTAATTATGGACTGTTTTAATAAATTTTAAATCATATAGTAATAACCTTAGTGCATGTGGCTATTTTGTATTTAGTGGTCAAGCATTTGTTGAACATTTACTATGTATATGAACACACTCGTAATCCTCTCTATTTCTCTCTCCCTTCTTTTACCCTCTCCACCCAAAAAGAGTACACTTGAGAATGTATTAATGAAGAGTAGAGGGATGTTAAAGAGTAAATTATTTAATTGGAGTTAGGTTTGCTTAAGCAAGGAATATCATAAATATTTATACATTGAACTATTGAACTTTTCTTCTTTTTAGAGACGGAATCTTGCTCTTGTCTCCCAGGCTGGAGTGCAGTGGTATAATCTCGGCTCACTGCAACCTCCATCCCCCGGGTTCGAGCGATACTCCTGCCTCAGCCTCCTGAGTTGCTGGGATTACACGCATCTGCCACCTCGCCCAGCTAATTTTTTTGCATTTTTAGTACAGCCTTGCCATATTGGCCAGGCTGGCCTTGAACTCCTGACAGCGTGAGCCATCATGTCCAGCCAACAGAATCTTTTTCTAGAGATAAATATGGTATTATATGCACATTACTCTTTACCTCCTTCTCGCGAGGTTTTGCTAGTTTTTAGTTTATTATACTGTCTCTGAGTGAAACATAGAACTAAAAAAGAACAACACAAAAAAGAATGACACACAACAGATTAACACATTTAGCCAGAATTTATAGTTTTCAGGTATCATTTACTCATAATTTAAATGTTTTTGAATTTTTTGGGAAATATTCTGTATATATTCTTGATGACATAAAACTTGCATGTATTCCTCTAGTTTCTTAATCATGCAGAAGTTGTAAGTGTACAAGAGTTTGGTGTCATTTTATACAGGGAGAGCTAATTATTTAGTGGCTTAGCTAACAATGAGGAATTTCATTTGTATAGCTAGTATACTTTGGAAATTCCATTTTCTATCTGGTGATACAGTTATAAAATGTCAACCAGTGTAGCTGTCATTTAAATGGAATTTCCCAAAGATGTGATAGGCACATCTAACTGAATCACCATGATTTTTGATACTGTTCCCCAGAAGATAACTATCAGTTCCTTTGTGATATGTAACCTAAGACAGAAAATGGTTTGAAACTAAAAAAAATATGTTTTATACTTAGTCTTCAGATCCTGACCTGAGGCGATCCTTAGATAAGCAACCTACTGATAGTGGAGGAGGCATTTATCAGTATGATAACTATGAAGAAGTTGCTATGGATACAGATAGTGAAACTAATTCTCCAGGTATGAGCCCAAACTTGAAACCTTTGTGTATTTACATATATTAAATAGAGAATGGCCATTATGCTACTCAAAACCTTGAAAGAAATGTGTAATGAAAGTGAGATTTGCTGATGAACCGTATGATGATAGACATTATTTGTTGTTGTAAATACTGAGCAAACCTCAACCTCAAGTAAGTGATATTAACCTTTATTTCAGAGTGTTTCTAGATAGCCTGTAAATTAAATAAATAGGTAAATAATTGTTTAAACTCTGTTAATTATTTGCTCTAGAAAGTGAAGATTGGGCCAAATGCAGTGGTTCACGCCTGTAATCTTGGTACTTTGGAATGCTGAGGTGGGCAGATTGCTTGAGGCCAGGAGTTGGAGACCAGCCTGGTCAACATGGTGAAACCCTGTCTCTACTAAAAATACAAAAATTAGCTGGGTGTGCTGGTGTGTGCCTGAAATCCCAGCTTCTTGGGAGGCTAAGGCATGAGAATTGCTTGAACTCAGGAGGAAGTTGCAGTGGGCTGACATAGTACCACTGCACTCTAGCCTGAGTGACAGAGCAAGATTCTGTCTTAAAATATAAAAAGTAAAGAATGGGAAAGATGAGAACACTATTTTTAGAAAAACAACAAACTCTTGATCTTTATATCCAAGATTCTTTCTGCTTTAAAGAACAAAAGACCTTTTTTTGCTATTTGGCTTCTGGTCTCTTTCTAGTGTGATAATTTGTTAGGAATTTTGAGATAGAAAGTGATACTAGTGGCATCTCATGAAAGACTGATTAGAACTGGTCAGGAGTGTACTCTGCTTTAGGTTGCATACTCTACAATCTGACTTGACTTTGAGGGCTAGAGACTTGATTTTGTTGGTGTTCAGGGGTGATTGGCTGTGAAAGACCTATTCCTTCACAAATAATTTAAAACATATTATTGAGGTGAAAATGGAATGCAGTTGGCATTCCAGAAACTGGAAAATTTGGATGAACACATGATCAGTGTACTTCTCCCTGTAGTCACATGGTTAGACCAAATCAAAACTAGAATCCTACTTTGGTGTATCTAGACTAGAGACTAAACAAAATATGTTATTTGGCTAGTGTTTATCAAAATGCTCATTTTTCAGGTTGTTTTAAGCTGGCGTTTGATAGTCTTACATTATGTTATGTTTTGAGATCATAATTTTATTAATTTGCTTTGGTCAATATTTAATTTTCTTATTTTCAGATTCTTGGAGATGATTCATTGTAATTCCCAAGTATTCACAATATTATTAATACTCTATTTCTAGAAAATAACTTTATAATCTATGCTTTTTAAATGATCTTGTAAAACATTATATAGAGAAGATGTTCTGTATGCAGCTTTATCAAATTTTAATTTTTTGCCACATTAACTGCAGATACTTTTTTTTTTTCCATTTTATTATCAAATTTTGCCAACACGGACATATTACACTTGAAGAAATGTGCATTAAACAAATCTTCTAATTCATTTTATTCTATATTTTAAAAAAAATGTTTTCCATATAGTTTTTCCCTTAGAGGGGAACAAAAGAACAAAAACAAGATAATGCAAATACAGTGAAGAACCAGTTTAGGATCTTAGGTGTCAGGCAGTTCAAAAATTGCCAAAAGATTTTTTTTTCGCCAGGATGCCACAATGGCAGAACAACTTAAAAATTAAAATACTAAAATGATGGAGTGGTCCCAGTAGCTGTCCCTGGCTAGCAGGAGCACACAGTGCCACCAAGGCAGAGGCCAGGACCAGAGGCAGTGGGTGTCCCAGTGCCAGCCTGTCCATCCCTGTAATGAAAGCTGAGCAGGAACTGCAGCTGCATGGCCTTGGGGGCGGGTGGACTTTTGGAAAACCAGGCTTTGAGGCTGCCAACACCTTGGGCACCACTGGTGGTCCTAGAGCAGGTGGAGCCTGTATCTGCATCTCTGTTCCAACCAGCCACCTGGCACAGGGCTAGACCTACATTCTGGTCTCTGCATCTTGATCTGGGCTGGGGCCTGTCCACCTGGTCATTCTGGCCGGTGCTCACACTGTAAGCCAATTATAGGTTGTGTCAATGTCTTTCCTATATTAAAAACAAGAAAAGCCGGACATGGTAGCTCACACCTGTAATCCCAGCACTTTGGGAGGCCAAGGCGGGATGATCACCTGAAATCAACAGTTTGAAACCAGCCTGGGCAACATGGTGAAACCCCATCTCTACTAAAAATACAAAAATTAGCGAGGAGTGTTGGCTTGCTCCTGTAGTCCCACCTACTCAAGCGCTTGAGGCAGGAGAATCACTTGAACCTGGAAGGTGGAGGATGCAGTGAGCTGAGATCATGCCACTCCACTCTAGCCTGGGCACTGAGCTAGATGCCATCTCAAAAACGAATAAATAACAGGAAATCTTGACACCAAATCAGGAGCATAATGAAAGTGTCTACTGTTACTACTATTAACTGAATCAAACACCAGCAAACACTTCCCTAGTCCTTTGTCCTCCTGGTTGGTCCTGACATGGTGGGTAGCATGAACCAGCACATAATGGTCTTCCATCTTTCCTACCACTAGTTTCTAAAACTCGTGAATGAAGGCTGCTCTTGCTGAGGGCACCCTCTACCTTTCCACTGTCCTTTCAGACCCCCTACTGGTCAGCCTAACACAAAGGTTAGAAAGTTCTGAGAAGCTTCTCCTGGTACCTGGCAGTGAATCAGGACTGCATAAATTTGGATGAGGACAGTGTGGCCTGGAGGACTTTCCTCAGAGACCACTGCACTCTCTAGGTCCACCTTCTCTCCCAGTAACTAGGAAGGGAAAACATGCCAAGTCCACAATATAAGAGCACCATTAAGTGTCAGACTATTAAACATTCAAACGTTCATGGGGCAGAACACTAATAAACATAGCCTCTTCTCTCTGCCACCTAATGACACAGATGGGACACAGCAGCCACATCCACCGCACCGTGTAAAATGTTCCAAAGATTAGTGTATATTCAGATGATCTCATTTGGGCCTCAAGTCAACCCCAAATAAGGCATGTGAGTAGTATCTGTATTTACTTGTGAACCTGGGATAAAGAAGAAGTTTTAGATTTTTTTTAAGATTATATCGTTAGTGGATAGGGTAGTAAGAGTAGTCTTTGAAACTGCTATATTTCGGTGAGGCTAACAAGTCATTGAAGATAAAATACCCAGTTATTTTTATCTGCCACCAAGGAAGAAAAATGCTGAGATGTGTCAATTTTAATTTTATATTAAAATGTGAAAAAATGTGCACCTTATTAAATACACAAATTAATTATTCTTATTCCTAGTTTTATTTGCTTTCTACACAGCTTATATACTTCATTTCCTCAGCTTTCTTTTGCTCCACAAGAAGGGAATAATGAAGTCACCACATCATTGTTTTCCTTTGGCTAAGGCATTTTGGCGGGATTCAGGGGAATTTTTTGTTTCATTATTTCTTAAAAAGTGTGCTTGTGTTTTTATTTTTTTAAGTATGCTTTTAGCCTTTTCTGCTTTCTTCCCTGATATCCTCGTTAGGTTAAAAGTGGAACAAAGTGAGAGTTTTGAGGGACTGATTGTTTAAAGTGAATGGCTGACTTTATGATGATATGACAATTTAAATGGCTGGAGATGGACTCATGAGGGTTAAAGATTTTATCAGAGGTTGATAAGGTCTGATTCGCACTCTACCTAGATGTATTTCTTTAAACATAACATAAATTTAATATATTCCTGATGGTGTATTTCTGTTACTAAACTCTTAACAAAAAATTTTTTTATAGCTCCTTCACCAGTGCAATCATCATTTTTCTCTGAATGTTCATTGGGATATTTTTCTCCAGCAACATCTCTTTCTTTGCCTCCACCACCTCAGGTTTCTGTAAGTCATAGTTGATTTCTAAGAAAATTACTTTGTCTGATCTTTTCTAATTTGTTTTTAGAAACAAATGAATGGTTAGGTTTGAAGAGGGCTTAAAAAATCAGAATTGCTTATCAGAATTAATAGCAGTGAAATATGTAGCATAAACAGATGATTACACCAGCAAGGTATCGATTTGGTAGATATTTTTCATAGCCAATTTTTAATTTCATGCTGACTTTTCGGTACCTATCATGTTTCCTTCTTCTATTTACTCTCAACTAATAGCTATCTAGAAAATTTATTGAAAAACAGACGTTATCTATCTACTGTTTTGGACTATCTCTTTTTTAAGGAATTGGGATTTACATGTGTTAGGGTGCTTCTAAATATTAATAGTCTCCTTTCTCCTCTTTTCATAAAAATGGTTATTTTTAACTTGACAATCCAGCAAAATAAAAGCATTGCCTATGAAGTTATTTTTCCCTGTCTTCTTAAAAGAAGTACCAATCCTCCCACTAAAACAAAACAAAACAAATACACAAAAACAATAAAAGGAAAAGGAAGTAGGGGATCACACATTAAAAATCTTGAAGTTATTTTTAGATTGAGAGGGCCTAGAGATCAAATTGAGTATCTTTTAGTAAGTGTAAGAGGGAATCTTGGTTGGGCGTGGTGGCTTACGCCTGTAATCCCAGCACTTTGGGAGGCCGAGGCGGGTGGATCACGAGGTGAAGAGATCGAGACCATCCTGGTCAACATGGTGAAACCCAGTCTCTACTAAAAAAAAAAATACAAAAACTTAGCTGGGCATGGTGGCATGTGTCTGTAATCCCAGCTACTCGGGAGGCTGAGACAGGAGAATTGCCTGAACCCAGGAGGCGGAGGTTGCGGTGAGCCGAGATCGCGCCATTGCACTCCAGCCTGGGTAACAAGAGCGAAACTGTCTCAAAAAAAAAAAAGAGGGAATCTTTCCATTTCAGGAAAAATGTCTAGTGTCTTTCTAGAACATATGTGGTGAGGGGAATGTTAGAGCCAATGGTGAGAGAAAAAACATTTTCTTTGTTATAATATTTTCATTCAGGAAATGAATAAATGAATTAAATTTGGAGAGAAATACTCTCTTTGATGCAAACACATACCCAAATTCAGATTTGTGTAAAATTAGTTTTCTTTACAGATATTCTCTAAGAAGCCATTTAAGAGAGTAGTTCTGATTCTTCTTGATACTTAATTAGGTATCTCTGGTGCTCTGAACTGTTATTCACAGAATCCCTTGATTTCTACTTTTTATTTTTTTACTGAAATATTATGTCTTAGGTTTCAGTATCTCTGCTTGCTTTCAGGCAGTTATCTAGAAGGAAAGACCCTGTATAGTTTGATAGCTATATCTTCTAGAATGCTAAATGGATATAAGAATGGGAACAGAGAATTTTCTATAATTTTCCTTGAAGTTAATAAATGTTTCAAATATTGTTGATTTTTTTAATTGCAAAATTAACACTTTGTAGTTGGTTATTGATTTCTGGGTTTGTTTTGAAGTTAAGATATACTTAGATTACTATACTTACAGCTAAAATCATAAAGTTTATTTTTTTTTTGTTTAATATTGCTGCAGAGATAAACATTTGAGTTGATAAAATTTGTGCTGTAATTATTTCTTTTTTTAAAAAAATAGTCTCTGCCACCCTTGAGCCAACCTTATGTGGAAGGCTTGTGTGTTTCTCTTGAACCTCTACCTCCTCTACCACCATTACCACCTCTTCCACCTGAAGATCCAGAACAGCCTCCGAAACCACCTTTTGCAGATGAGGAAGAGGAGGAAGAAATGCTGCTTCGAGAAGAGCTACTTAAATCTCTAGCAAATAAAAGAGCTTTTAAGCCAGAGGTAATTTAGGTACCTGAACCTCTAGGTGGTGCTCTTGAGCTTAGCTTAGGGTAGTCCTACTTTTTTTTTCTGATTGCTTGGGATTCATTGGGCTTTTCAGCAAAGTAGGGATAATTCTGACATTCTCAAGATTTTTTAAAGTAGCAGAAATTTATTTGTATTAGGAATGTTTCATATGTGTCTCTTCCTTTTATAGGAAACATCCAGTAATAGTGACCCACCTTCACCTCCAGTTCTGAACAATTCACATCCCGTGCCAAGAAGCAATCTATCAATAGTCAGTATTAACACAGTGTCTCAGCCTAGGATACAGAATCCAAAGTTTCACAGAGGACCTCGTCTTCCACGAACTGTGATCTCGGTAAAAACAAAAATTTAATGCTACTTTTATTCAAACAGTTGTGAGAAATTTCTACAAAGTTTTGCTGTCCTGTTTCCTACACCTTGGTTTATTTATATACACACATATGTTCACATATAAATGTGAAAAATTTATATTTTTAATGTTTTAATGGTAAAATGAGAGCAACACCTTCACTTGAAAGCTGGTAGAATTCGGTGATAATGTGTTGGAGGAGGTATTGTCTTCATCAGAGTGATGTACTTTTCAACTTTTTTTCCTATAGAAATTGGCTCATTCAGATTTTCTATCTTTGTTTGGAGTAAGAATTTTAACAAATTGTGTGTTTTTTATTTATCCCATCTTTGTATACTTTGTGTATGTTTTCCAATCAATGATTACACTATGATGGAAGACATTACTTATGATGTTTATTAAGGCAGTTGAAATGATAGTTTCTTTCTATTTTGTTTTCTAATGACCTCAAAGTAAAATAAATAGAACAAAGCCAAGTTGAAATCTTGCCTCTGTTTGGTAAGCCAGTTTTGGCAATTTACCCTCTATATGTATTCACAAAGTGCACAAATTTGATAATTATTACATAAAATTAACAAAATAATTTTTCTTTAGTTTTAAGAGAGTTAATTGAAATTGTATTACGGTTCTTTATATAGAAAGTTAAAGAAAACAAAATTTTAATGAGAGTTATGGCATAGGAAGACTTAAAGAATAGACAACATATTATGTCTCTGGCATATAACCACTATTGGTGGACACAATGAATTATGTAATGCAACTAGAAGGAGCCATAGACCGTCTACTTGGAGCCCATTATTTTTGTGGATTGAAATTCAAAGAGGTTAAATAACATCCTTTTGTTATCACAAGGAATAAATATATTGTCTTTGCAGCTTCCAAAGCATAAATCAGTGGTTGTAACACTAAATGATTCAGATGATAGTGAATCTGATGGAGAGGCTTCCAAGTCGACAAATAGTGTTTTTGGTGGATTAGAGTCCATGATTAAAGAAGCAAGACGAACTGCTGAGGTAAGTACAGTAATTAACGGTGGAAAGAAAGATGACCTGTTGACAGTCATTAAAGTTTTTTTCTGAAAAATTAAATGATAGAGTTATAGTTGTTTAATAACATTGATTTGTGGAAATATTTTAAGTATTTGTGCTGTTAGGATTTTATATAAAGAAGCATGTGTCAATGTAGTTGATTTTACTATTAAAAGTTGCCATTATTTGTTTCCTATTAAGTATTCCCTTTTTCAAAATAGTAACATTGGTTGGATAATTGTTCTGTGTAGTGAGGAAACTATTGTTTTAGAATTGTGTTATGTTACCAGAAAGCAATTTTTATTAAAATATATAATAAGTACACCTTTTATCCTTTTTTCCCTATTATAATACTTGTTTAGCTATGATTTAATTCAGTGATTTTCAGACTGTAGATCTTGACTCCTTGGTGGTGTATACAATTTAATAGTTATCAACCAGCATTGTTTTAGAAAAAAGAATAGAAAATGATGACATTCAGGTATTTCTAAATAAATTCAGTATATACTAGGTTGCAATGTAAAATATAAATCTTAGTGGAATTTTTGAAAGCTGATGATCTAGTTGACTTCAAGTGTATTTTTTTAGCAAGCTTCAAAACCAAAAGTACCTCCAAAATCTGAAAAAGAAAATGATCCTTTGCGAACACCTGAGGCTTTGCCTGAAGAAAAGAAGATTGAATATAGATTGTTAAAGGAAGAGATTGCCAAGTAAGTGTAATTTTATTTAATTAACATTAAAGGTATGTGATGGGTTCAAAACTTCTGTAATAGAGTTTATTGGCACTGGGAAGTGAGTTTTATCCAAGATACAG